AGTTTGGTTGCATATTTGGTCCCTCGGTACACTTATTTTTCTTTCATTTTTTAATAAAATACTTATTTATTTATTTAAAAAATTAAAAAGTATCAAGGGCCCCACCTCTCTCTCTCTCTCTCTCTCTCTCTCTCTTTGTCTCTCCAAATTACCCATAACCCAATCACCATCTTCATCTTCTCTAGTGTTTCTTCATATCAACCTCCATAGAAAAATCCACACATTGGGACTACCATCTGCATCAAATGAAACCAAACTTGATGATAATACCTTCATCAAAATCGCCTTCCACCCCATTACCGGAGATGCTACCAAAACCCTAAATCTAACGCCACTATCGCCATTATTTGGGATAAACCATTTGCAGGAAGCAACGACAGTGTTCATCACTCTCCTCCTCATTGATCTCTAAATATCATATCGATGGTCATGTATCCCTGGAATGTTGTTTCCTTGATCAACTTCATGGTTCAACCTTCAAAGTATTTGGGTCTGAACCTTCATCGTCTGCGTTTCAAAATTCTAATCGACTCAACAAGCCTATTCTTGTTTTAATCGTGTAAACCGAGGTGGGATTTGAAGTTAGGTGGTAGATTCTTTTTTATTTAAGTTGTCATGCTTAGATTTGAGTTAGAATTTGAGTTGCAGGTTAGATTTTAAGTTTAAGATCTTGATTTTGATTTGAGGTTAGAATTAGATTTCAACATTGGTGGTTGATGTCATAATTGGTTGTTGTTGGCGGAGATGGTTGAAAAGAGGTTGTCGGAGGAGGGGAACGATGAAGGGGAAGGGGATTATGGATAATGGTGGAACCATATATGGAGGTGGCAGATGGTGGTAGTGGCAGACTAAGGTGGTGGCAGACGGTGGTGGAGGCAGACGGTGGTCAAAGGGTGGTGGCGGTGGCTTACGGTGGTCAAAGGGTGGTGGTTGTGGAAGATATTCTTAAGTTCATGAATATATTCTTGAGATTATGAAGGTGTTCTTGGGTGTTGGGGGAGAGAGAGAGAGAGAGAGAAGTGGGTCCTCTATTATTTTTTAATTGTTAAAATAAATAAATAAATATTAAATTTTTAAAAAAATGAAAAAGTAATGCCCCAAGGGTATTATAGTCATTTTAGTTTTCAGAGGGACTATGTTCACATACAAACCATTCCAAAAGGACCATGAATCCAAAAAACTCATGGTTTGGACTAAACCCCTAAAAATTTGCATACCATAGGGACCATTTTTGCAATTTTGTAACAAAAATCTCTCTCTCTCTCTCTCTCTCTCTCTCTCTCTCTCTCTCTCTCTCTCTCTCTCTCTCTCTCCACAAAAACTTTATTCTATCATCATCTTTATAGATCAAATACTAACATCAATCCAAATTATCTTCACTTCCATCAATCAGTGAATTAATCTTCACCCTAAACCCCACCCACATTCTCTCATTTCCATTTCTCTTTCTTGTCCATCTTTCTATCATGTAAAAAAATCTCAAATTTGAAGAACCGATCTCGATCTCCTTTCTCTCGTCTTCGGCTGTCGAGGTTCAAAGGGAGGGCAACAATGATCGAAGTGGGTGTTTGGGTGGTGCTACCTGACTGAAGGGAGGTGTAAGGGCAGCTTAGGCCGACGAAAACCGTCAATTTCTTCTTCTTTGATTCTGTAATGAAAAACTGGAAAAAAAAAAAAAAAAAAAGCAAATGGCATAATCATCATTTTATAAAAAATTAAACCAAAATGGATCAAACTTGCAACAAAATGAAAATTTTTGGAGCATTGGTACTAATCCAAACATGTTTGGCTAATATACCACATAGACCATCCTTACAATTTTGTTTTCTTTATATATTTCCCATGGAAAGATAGCTAGCTACCTTAATTTTAAAACTCGAAAACTTGACCTGGTAAACTATATACATTTCCAATCAATGGACTATGGAAACATATGACATCAAAAATAGATCAATGCCAATTCACAATTACTCAATGTTTTCGAGTTTTAAAATTAAGGTAATGTGGAGGAAATGAAAATAAGGAGAGTTTTAAAATTAAGGGACCTCAAGAAATGGAAATTAATAAAGAGAAGGAAAGGAAGAAAGGACAAAATAAATAAATAAATAAATAACTAGTTGTGTTCTCCGGTAAAAAGAATTGAAAGGGAAGCAAAATTATGTTCAGTTGGAAGAAAATAAAAATAAATGATATTTTTAAAAATTTGTCCATAATTTGTTATTATATGGAAAAATCAACATGTTTTAAATAAATGTATAGATCTCATAACAAAAATTGTATACATTCACTAAAGTTGAATGAAATATAGCTTCCACAATTGACTTTTGAGATGTCAGATATTGGCATATTGCTAATGTTTAAAATTGACAAATGATAGCTTTCAACCCATTAAAATCTTGTGCAGATCGTAAGCATGTCAATTTTTAATTTAAAAAAGTATGCTAAGTTTCAATTTAAAAATCACACTGTTTGATTCACTCAAGTCAAAATTTAAGCATATTTATTGATTTTTAACCTAATTCATTTTTACACAAGAATACATCTTTTGTCAACTTATTTGTTAGTTTCTTTTTTTATTACCAAAATATGGTTTTACTATAACTACAAGTCTACAACTTTTAAAATTTTAAAGTACATCCAACAAACATCATCACATAAAGTAAGTTTTTCCTTCACACTCCTTTCTTTTCCTTTCATTTTTTCCCTAAAAAACTAAAAACACTTTTTTAGGGGCATAATGTCGTAAGGATGATTTTGGCAACAAACACACACAAAGAAAAAGGAAAAACTAGTTACAGCACTTATTTACAAAGCACATCGACTATTTTTGCACTCCAGAACAAGTTTTTACGGGCATATTTAGAAAACATATTCAGTTTACTCTAAATTTTAAATTTTAATTGGTAGACTAAATATGTTTTTTTTTTTAAATGTAGATGTAGATAAGCATATATAAGATGAATACGCACATGTTTTATGTCGCTATATTAAATTTACATTTTATTATGAATATCAATATTATAGTGTAATTCTTGTGATTTAATATGTAGGCTTAGTGTGGCTTTTAAGAATGTACACATACATATGTAAGATGTATAGACACTTATGTTTTAAACTTTTACATATATAATTGAGGGTGTATCATTGTGATGATATGTCAAAGCTAAAAGTGGAAGACTAATCTCAAGTTGAAATGTAGATCAATTTATGGATGTGGTATCGATTAGAGGTATCCCAGGGTGAGCTCGATGATATGTTGTGATGTTGAAGTCCGTATGAATTGGTCAAATGAGAAAGGGGTAACGAGGGAGAAAGTAAAGAGTGTGGAATAATATTAGTAATATAGTATGTGGAAGATATGGTGGATAATTTATTGACTTATGTTCAAATCCTGACACTAATCAATCTATGTGGTCATGGAGGCTTGTCTGTAATGACTTCAGGGCATGAGACATAGCCTCATGTTTGTAGTGGGGGATTAGTCGGTGCACAAAAGCTGGTCCGAAAACCCTCATCAAAAAAGTTTCCTTTCCAAAAAAAATCTATTGGGAGTGTTTACATCATATGTCGTCATAGTGCAAAGGTATTGGCATTTACTTAATTATGTCATATTAGTAGGTCAAGCATAATGTGAAGATGTATTTTGTACATGTGACTATTGTAACATCTTGAAAATGATGTTAGACGTTTTAATCTCGTTGTCTCTTTTTTTCATGTAGTCATGCTTAAGTCTGTTATGATTTCACTCGTTATTGCTACATATTGTGATTATAAGATATGACAAATGGATGCCAAAAATATATTTTTAGCGAGAACTTAAATGAGGATGTGTATTTGACACCGCTTGATGGTTTTGTCCATCTAAAATTAAATATGTAAGGTTTGTAAATCCGTTTTTTGATTAAAACGTGCTTCTTAGAGTTGGTTAAGGGCGGATGCAGGACTGCGTAGGTGTTATCGATCCGTAGTAGATGTTACCAGTGACATATTTTATAGTAGAAAAAAAAATCGAAAATTTTCCACTGCATACAGGAAAAACATGTGTTGTCGGTACAACCCCAGACCCCTAATAAAAACCACCCCTAGAGTTGGTATGTTCGATTTTATGAGAAAATAAGAGTTTAGCTTTTTTAAGAACTAAGATGACCCATGTGTATATCGAAAGTTGAGGGGACGTTGGCATTTTTATAATCTTGTATGTTTATGACATATTACTCATGAAAAATGAGAATATCAAGACTTCGCTAGATAAGTGTTTGTTTATGAAAGACCTAGAACATGCTACATATATATACAATGGGAATCAAAATACACAAAGATAAGTCGAAATGATCAACAAGTTATTCACATGCGGTGTAATTCACAGAGAGAATTTATGACTCTCAAAAAATGGACAACTTTTCTAACATTAACCAAATAACCAAGAGAATTTATGACTTTCAGAAAATGAACAACTTTTCTAACATTAACCAAATAACCAAAATGTTAAGCAAGCCAGCCTTTTTTTAGGATTAAATTAACCAACCTTTTTTTTGCATTAGAATAATCCATATTACATAACAAACCTTTGAGAAATTAAATATCATCCTACTTATCTTCCTATCCATGTAAAATGATGATATCTTCCTATCCATGTAAAATGATGATATGTGTCTTAAAAAATTATCAATTTTATCCAATTATGACATTTATCACCATTTCACATGAATAATAAGATAATTAGGAAGAAAAAGTAGAATGATATTTAATTTCTCCAAACGTTTAATTTCTTCTATCAAAGGTAAGAGACCTTTGTATTTTGTTTTTTCTATTGTTGGTCAACTGATTTGCATTGCAGCATTGATTTCATGCTTTGAAACCAACATCTGTCCTGTCTCTCAAAGAAAACTAAACCTCACAAGCATTACGTGACATACCTTCTCCATACCATCTTCTGAATACGTTTGAGACACACACAATATATTTCAAAAAATCAAAGCATTATGCCTCCAAAAAGAGTAATGACTCATCGCAAGGTCTGTGTAACGGGTGCATCCGGTTTCCTAGCTTCCTGGCTCATCAAGCGACTCCTCTCATCTGGTTATCATGTCATTGGCACTGTTAGAGACCCCGGTCTGTGTCTCACCATCTTCAATCTCTTCCTCCTTATATAACATCCTACTAACCTTTTTTTTTTTTTTTTTTTTTAATTTAAATTAAATTCGCAGCAAATGAAGCAAAACTAGCTCACCTATGGAACCTTGAAGGAGCAAAGGAGAGACTCCACTTAGTGAAGGCGGAGCTAACAGAAGAAGGAAGCTTCGATGATGCAATCATGGGATGTGAAGGCGTCTTCCACACAGCTTCCCCTGTTCTCGGACATATTACAAACCCTAGGGTATGTTACATTCGTTCGCTTCTGCTTTCAGTTTTAATCATGATGAAGTGTTTTTTTTCTTCAAATCTGAATGTTGTTTTTCAGGAGGAGATTTTAAAGCCAGCTGTTGATGGGACACTGAACGTCTTACGTTCGTGTAAGAAGAATCCGTCACTGAGACGAGTCGTGTTCACCTCATCGTCTTCTACAGTAAGAGTAAAAGACAAATTTGACCCTGAAAAACCCGTTGATGAGTCCTCTTGGAGTTCCGTTGAAATCTGTGAGAAGTATCAGATCTGGTATGTACTTTCGAAAACCATGGCAGAAAAAGCAGCATGGGAGTTTTGCAACGAAAACGGGATCAATCTCGTGACTATTCTCCCCTCGTTTCTTGTTGGACCAAGTTTACCTCCTACTTTATGTTCTACAGCATCAGATATCCTCGGATTGCTTCAAGGCAACTAACTTCTCTTCTCTAACCATGTGTTTTATTTTATTCCTAAATACGTATTTGGATTTTGGATCAACAGGGGAAACAGAGAGGTTTAAATGGCATGGGAGGATGGGATATGTTCATATAGATGATGTTGCTCTTTGTCATATTCTAGTTTATGAACATGAAAAAGCTCAAGGACGATATTTATGCAGCTCAACTGTAATCGACAATGATGAACTTGTTTCCATTCTGTCATCACGTTATCCAACACTACCAATTCCAAAACGGTATTGAAAAAAATAAAAAATAAATAAATAAATTTGCTATAACTTATAACTGATTGAAAGCTAATTTGCAGGTTTGAGCAGCATGATCGACCATATTATGAGTTTAACACGACAAAGATAACCAGCTTAGGGTTTAAGTTCAAGTCGATTCAAGAAATGTTTGATGATTGTATCACCTCTCTTGTTGCACAAGGCCATCTTTCTATTCCTTAGTTAAATCTGGAAACTTCTCTTTTCATCAAAATGTTACCTCAAGCGTTCTAATATTTACTGATACATCTTTCTATATATAGTAATCGAGAACAACAATTTCGTGTTAAAAAATATTTTGTGTACCTTTGACTTTGAGAGAAGATTTGATTTAAACAACATTTTGGATCCCTAATTGGTGAAGGGAATCTGGCCCCACAAGAAATACTCGCTTTAATGTTTGGTGACGAAAAACAACAACTCCTTTATACGCTGTTCTTGGGATGCCATCCTGAATAAAGTAAAAAACATAAGTTGTTATTTGAATAAATTGCAATGTTGGTCCCTGAGTTTATCTCTTTTTATACTTTTGATCCCCCAAAGTATCCTTTTTGCAAATTTAGTTCTTATTGGAGGTTTTTGTAACATTTTTTGTCATTGTTCCAAGTAAAATGACTACATTGTCCTTTATCTGAATTTTTTTTATACCTTCCACTCCTCAAAAATGCCAAATTGTTGAGCGATGTTTTCAAAATGTGATTGATCTTTATATTTTATACGCACATCTCCATCTACATTATTTGTCTTCAAAACAAGATCACTTCCATAAAGAGGTTTTGCATTTTTCACCATGTCTGCAAAATGCTTCACAAATTTATCCTACAAAAACAATGAAAAATGGTTAGTTAATTACCCGTTGACTTATTAAATTATTTTTAATTGAAATGCTTACCTCCATTAGGTAGCTTAAGTTCATTGATTTCCAATCAACTTTAACATCATTGAGCTTAATAGGTTTAAGATATTGTTGGAAGAACTGTCCCAAACTAGAACCCTAAAAAAATAGAAACAAGTAATCAATCTATTCCATTATTTTTACGTATGATTAAACAAAAGATGAAATGTAAAGTTGAAATAGAAGATACCTACATGCTCTCCAAAATTGTAAGTTCTGCATACTTCTGGACGAATAAATTGTCTTCCTTTGTGATTTTCTTGTAATCTTAGCCAGTCATCCCAGTAAGTAATATTTTGTCAAAGAAAATTATCTTTAAAAGTTTTAACCACAAAACACAATTTTTTCAGAAAGGATATGCTTTTGGCCACTTTGGAGAAAGCTCATCCCATGTAGGTTTAGCTAGCATCCATCCAAGACCAGGGAAAAAATCTGACCGATATAACATATCTGAAAATTGTATTGTTTAACAAGATTAAATACAAAATGGTTTTCTATTTGGATAATTAAAAATAAAAAATAAAGAAAGAAAGAAAAATAAAGATTAGACTTACAAGGATCATGCACAAATTGCTTTTGCCCATTGTCATTCCATGAGGAGATAGCCATGATTGACCTATAAAGTGACTGAATGAGTAATGATGTCTGTCTCGATAAAGTGTTGTGTACACAAATTTCTTTATTTTTTCAACTGGATAAACCGTTTGAACGAAACTAAATGACCATTTTACCCTTCATTAACAATATGGAGTATGGGCATAGTATTTATAAAGAAACAGCCACTTACTTATCTTTATCCAGGAGGCCAGCTCCAGCCTCAAAGTAATCAAAAAAATCAGGAGCAATCTCCATATCATCTGCAACCCATGAATGTCTAAACTCATAATGTTCTTTCTATTTCTAATTCTAAATAACAAAAACAAAACTGATATGCTTCAAAATTCATACCTTCAAGTATGATGACACGATTAAACTTATGTTTGTAAAACAGTTGATCCATTGCCCACTTGTAATGACCTGAAAATACAGTGGAAATGCATAAAGAAAAGATTAAATGAAACTTATAAATTTAATTTATAGCTTACGTGCGATCTTGTAATATGCAATTAACTCCCCAGGCCTTTCAGTACGTACAGGTTCATAATCCAAGTGCTGTAACATATTACAGATAGACTTCAATTCAATATATTGGAGCACATAAGTAGTCCAATATCAAAATATTTTTTCATTTTGGGTCCTTATTTCAAGTCTTAAGGGACCAAAATCGATATGAAGCTTTGAAATGAAGATCAAAACTCAAAACTGAAATATATTATCATTCATTGCTCAAGCAATAACATATTAACATATATGATGACATTACCTGCATGTAGGTCAGTTGATCATAACTGAGTGCCTTTGCTCTAACATCAGAATTTGACCCATCCTGAAAATTTTAATATTTAAAGATATGAAAATTGTAGAAAAATAACAATGTACTATGGGCTATGAGCAACATATACTTACATTTTGCTACCAATATTGGCAATGTACTTTATCTCTTAAATATGGCCAATATTGGTTAAAAATGTAAGTATGCTGCTATTATGAGCAAAAAATTGTTCATATGTTGCTATTATGTGTTATGAGTTACAAATTGCCCTTATCAGTATAAAAATGTAAGTAAGCTGCTTTTATGGGTAAAGAAATGTAACTACATTTCTATTATGAATAAAAAGTAAATAAAACATATATTGGTAAAAAGAGTAAAGTACATTGTTATTTCTGGCAATTTTCCTTTAAAGATCAAGAAAAATATGGAAATTATGCGTACCTGGGATACGAAAATAGGAAACTTTGATGCGACTAAACTATGATATCTGATAATCATGAAGAATGGTTGAATACTTAGTTGACAGAAGCTTAATTGAGTTATGGAAAAATTTAAGATAAGAAAACATTTATCGAAGCAAGACATACTTTAAGATAGATTTGATAGTTCTTTCTAGATAATCAGCACGATTGCATGCCATAATTACAACAGCTGCCACTGGTGCCTGGAATGATGATGTACATACTTTATTATAAATAAAAATTGATAGACAGGAGATTAGAATTATAAAGTTGGTTTTATTATTCTTATACAAACCTGTTCTTCCCGTGTTAAACTTCTAACACCTTTTTCTGGAAATTGATAAAGTATAAGATCAGATTGGTAATAAGTTTTCATCCATAAAGATAAATGTGGTATTTCTACTAAGTTATCCATGGAAGAAGCTTACTTTCAAGATCTTGAACAAGTGCCCTCAAATGTTCACACTCCTGTTCTTGACGTTTTACTTTTTCTGGAAAAAAAAAAGTAAATGTAGAATGTCTCATTAAAGAAAACAGTCTCTTCTTGATATGAAAGAAACAAAAACAACCATGACATCATAATGGAAAAAACAAGAAGAAACAGCAGGATGCAGTAGTCAAATGAGTTCAATTACCTTCCAAAACCACAATATTTTCCTGATTCATGCTTATCTGATCAATTAGTAACCGCATCTGATTCCTGCAATGATTTTCTGCTTCCACCTGTTATGATCCAGATGTTCACTAAATACTTGCAGAATAGAAATTTTTAGGATAGACAGCACACAAAATCAATAGTGCCAAGAAACAAGTCAACAACTAATAAGTTTTCTAGGGTAAAACAGATATGAAGGATGAAATTGAGTAGATCAATAATTCAATATGATTACATAGTTTAGATGAATAAATTATCAACTACATAGGCTCTTAAATGTTGATATCTTCAAGCAATAGAGAATATATAACTAGGAAAATAGAACAAATATACACTATGTAAGGGCAATATACGTACTGCAGTTTCAAGTGCCTCGGCGTACTCAGATTGTGTGGCAAAAAGCTTCATCTGATGAAAAAGTAAGTAAAATAAGCCAAAGTTAAATAGTTACACACCAATCAGGAATTAAACGGGAAATATGCATAACATAGAATATGAGCAACTGAGGATAGCGATTAATTAGACCTAGATGGATGGAATTCAATTGATTTGCCTAAAAATGTGTTCGAATTACGTCGAACCTGGGTATATATGAATCCGATTACAACGAGGATGAGAAGGTATCTGAAATCGCAAGACCATCTCGCCATTTTTCTTTTTCTTTTTTCGTCCGTAGGGCTGCGTTTTTGTGGATCAAAAGCTTCAGACTAGAAATGGAACTGAAGCCTTCGATCTCTGTTCGCAAGAGGGATCAAGAATTCTGACTTAATTCTTCTCTGTTCTTCTGGGTAGTCGAAACTTCCTGCATAACTTTACCCATGAAATTTCAACATCCGGGTCATCCCATGTCTGTAGCGGAGGACTACTCCCGGATGCTTAAGGAGGTTATACGGTACAAGTATTTGATTCTCTGCACAACGCATAATTGTCCGTGGGCATTGATCATTTGATAATTACGTTTTCTCGGTTTTAACTTCGGAGTTTAAATAATTTTTGTTGGAAATGGATTGTGTTGGAAGGGGAATATTACTTATCAAGGTAATTAACTTCTTGGTATGTTTACATTTGGGTAACTATTTTTTTTTTTTACATATGTAGGTAACAAACTTTTTGGAAGTGTTCACATATGACCATTATGATCTGCTATAGCAGGTTAAATCCTAGATGTGAACGCTTACAACAAGTTTGTTACCTAGATGTGTAAAAAAAAATAGTTACCCAAATATGAACAAACGAAAAATAAAAATTAAATTACATGAATGGTCCCTGTGGTTTGGGGGAATTTGTGGTTTTGATCGCTAACTTATTTTTTTTAACTTAAATGGTCCTTACTGTTTATTTTTGTTGCGTGTTTGATCACCGTTTTACCTAAAAATACTTTTGTGCTCTTATTAATTTATTTTTTTTAATTAATTTTCTTATCTATGTATTTATTTTTTACATATTTAAAAAAAATAAACCACACATATTTGTATCTCCTTGGATGATCCTTACTATTTATTTTTTAATTAATTTAATTTTTTAACTCGGATGGTCCCTACTATTTAATTTTTTTACGAACTTGGTCTCTATCTTACCTAAAAAGACTATTGTTGCCTTGGTATTTTTTTAATTAATTTTCTTGTTTATGTACTTATGCTTTATATGTTTAAGAAAAATTAGTAGACCTCACATATCTGTATCTCATCACCATCCCATCTTTCATCCTTCTCAACTTCTATTTATTTTTCATCTTTAGTGATATCGATGTCTTCATCATCACTTCTTTTTTCGGTCCTTCAACTCCGTCGAATCAGCACCACAACCCACTAAAAATGAAGAGATAGTAGGTTATGGTGTTGGTTCGCCAGAGTTGAAGTACCAAAAAAAAAAGGACGGTGAAGACATCGATGTTACTAAAGATGGAAAAGAAATAGAAGATGGGGAGGAGATACAAATATGTGTGGTCTATTAATTTTTTTTGAATATGTAAAAAATAAATACATAGATAAGAGTATTAATTAAAAAAATAAATTAATAAGGGCACAATAGTATTTTTAGGTAAGACGGGGACCAAACGCGCAACAAAAATAAACAGTAGGGACCGTTTAAGTTAAAAAAAATAAGTTAGCGACCAAAACCATAAATTCCCCAAACCACAAGGACCATTCATGTAATTTAATATTTACTTTTCGTTTTGTTCATATTTGGGTAACTATTTTTTTTGTACACATCTAGGTAACAAACTTGTTGAAAGCGTTCACATCTAGGATTTAACCTGTTATAGCAGGTCATAATGGTCATATGTGAACACTTCCAAAAAGTTTGTTACCTACATATGTACAAAAAAAAGATAGTTACCCAGATGTGAACATACCGAAAAGTTAATTACCTTGATAAGTCATATTCCCTGTGTTGGAAAGACCAAAAGTCAAAAGAGATAGAATGTGTGTGGTAAAACAAAAATATCAATAAGTTTTCTCTCTTTTTTTTTCATATATAATTGAAGTTTTTAAAGGGTGTTTGAATTAGCTTTTTAGCTTATTGCTTATAACTTATTTGTGGTGAGAATAAGCAATAAGCAAAAAGAATGGTGAAAGATACTTATTAAAATTAGTTTATTTAGCTTAATAAGTTGGATTTTATCCAAACACTCAAATTAGCTTATTATGAAAATAAACAATAAGCACTTATTTTTTTCCTATACAAACACCCCTTTAGTGGGATCATACATCAAGGGACAGGATCGGTTTAATTTAGATTATGTAGGGTTCTATGTACATGGTTTGCAGTAAGTATACCGACACGGTCAAGGATATCAATAGTATATTAAGATTGGCTTGTAAATAAGGTTGTAGTTAAATAAGTAGCAGAAATCCCAATAAAATAGTTCAAAACACCAGGACCAATCATGGAGAACTCTCTGTCAAGTGAGGCAATGACCTAGTGGAAAATTATGGTGGAGGATGTTGTAAGGATAATCTCATTGACATAGAGTAGCAAGTAGGCAGTAGAATAACTACTTTGATAGACAAAAAGATGAGTCTGAGGGGCTGTGACAAAACAGTACTCACGAAAAGCGCGGCAAGGCATTAAAATCATGTTTTAGGCGCGTGCTTAAGGTCGTATAGAGTCCGTCCCATGTTACATACATGATATTTGAACTAAATGTCACGAATTCTGGCGGCTGGTGTATAAAAACGATTTCATGTAGAGTACCATGGATGAATGCATTTTTGAGGTCCAATTAATGGATAACTCATAGGCGAGGGGTATCTAGGTTGATGACATTGGGTATAGTTTCTACTATGACAACCAAGCTGAAAAGTCTCATCACAATCAATACCGATGTGTTAGCTTTTTCCATTTTGCGAGAAGTTATGTTTTGTAGCGAGTTAAATTACCAAAGCATTAGTTTGCGTTTAAAGAGCCACATCGATCGAATAATATTTACCCCAGCGGGTCTCAATACAAGAACCAAAGTGTCATCGGAGATAAGGGTATGAACACTTCATCCATGGCTTTTGTCAATATGGGTCCTTGATTACTTGTATATATACGATCGAGGAATACAAGAGAGAGAGAGAGAGAGAATGCATGGTTTTGGAAATGCCATGTTTAGCACGAGTTTGCATGTAATGAGTTAGATCATGGTTTATGACAGAAGATGTAGCCAACATCAATGATGAGTGTAACTGTGTGAGGTTGTTTGGGTGGTGATCGAAAACGTAGCCACACATAGATGGTCGATGTAAAGTAGTATGGTCGATGGATTGACAAGTAAGATGCCACTATTGGGTCGAATGTGATTGGAAGGGTAGGTAATGGGGAGGTTGGGGTTGTTTTTGACAGCTCATGAAATGTACAGGAGATAGGATAGGGAGTAAGCAACCCATAATGAGGCCTACGATTGGCTATTGGCAGCCCTACCTTGTCGTTTATTGTTGCGTCTGGAACGACAGTTCACTGGATGGCGGCATCTACGGTGATTGTTGTTGTTTTTCACTTGGTGGAGGGTTGTAGGTGGCGATAGTCCCGGTTGTGCCCGTGGCCGTTGTGTCTGCCCTTATAATTTCGCTTTGAATGACAGTTGAGGTTGGATCTCCATGTTCAAAACGGTCAAAGACAAGGAAGAAGCCATATGAGGAGAATAGTGGTCAACTTGAGATATCCGAGAGGAATGAATGCTTTGATGTTGGTGATTCTATAAGGTTTTTCGACGGTTAGCTTAGGGTCGATGTTGGCAGTCATGATGCCGACGGAATAGAAGGAAAAAAGAGAGGGAAGTCGACGATGAGCAAGGGTCAATGGAATAGAAGGGCGGAGAGCGGAAAAGAAAGATGGCTAGTGATTTGGCTTTGATTCCACAAAAAAAATATTGTTTTCTCGAAATATAGATATTGATTAACCAAATAGATGCAATGAATAACAAGAATTTTAAGGCTATAGGATATGGACTTTGAAATTGGGCATACTATGATATACAAATAGACATAACTCTCTAGGCACTAAAGAATTACATGCAAATTGCGAAAATGACCTTGGCCTACAAATGGGAGTTTTGCACTCGATAATGAAAATCATTTCTCCTTTTTTTTTTTTTTGAGATCATCACATCTTTAAAATGTACATACATGTTTATGTTTACGTATATGATAAAGTGGCCACTAAACACCCAAATGTTCAACCCCATATTATATGTAAAAAATAAAACAAAAGATTCCAAAATCTCACAAAATTTAAACCAAAACAAAACCGTATGAAATAAATTACAAAAACACACTCTGAAACCAAACCCCCCGAGTCAATTTTTGTGTTTTGCACCAACTGAGAAGAACTCTGTGATCACTTCCAATGGCATACCCTTCGTTTCCGGCACTTTCAAGAAAACAAACACCCACGATATGATGCACACAACAGCATACATCGAAAAAACACCAGGCAAACCAACAGAAGTAAGCAACAATGGCAGAGAATACGTCACAATGATGTCACAGATCCAGAAAGTGAGGGCACAAATGGCTATACAGATCCCACGAACTCTGGTAGGAAAAATCTCTGAACATAATATATTGGGAATCGGACCAAATCCCATCACGAAACAACAGAAATAGATCACAACACCAGCAGTTGAAATCGCTGCATTTGCAACACTCCCGAAGTCTATCAAACCTCCGATTACCAAAATTATGAGACTCAGAATCAATACTGGAATAGTCGTTAACAGCAGACTCCTGCAATATCACAAAACGGATCATCTTCTGTTCGTTTATATCTCAATTCTAACATTCTAATTTTCTTAATTTTGTAATCTGGAGCGAGTAATTTACCTTCTTCCAGATATATCCATGAGTCTCATGGCGACAGCGATACAAGGGAGCATCAACAAAGTTGAGATGTTGCTAATGAGAAGAGATGAAGAAATTGAACTAATCCCCCAATTTGATAAAAGAACACCAACCCCTGCTTCTTCAAGGATCTGAGGCGTGTAGTAAAGAACTCCACTAATGCCAGAGAACTAAACATGAAATTGACAAAACAAATTGGATTTAATTGGAACCCTAATTCAAAGGTGAAAAACTAGAGCTAGAAGTTTGATTTTTGTTACCTGTTGAAGTATTTGAAGACCGATTCCAACAAACAATGCATGCTTGACTCCCGGTTCAGAAAGATCAGACCAGTTTATGCCTTTGGTTGCAGCTTCAGCCGGATGAAGCATGGCCGGTCCGACCGGGTTCTGGTCCATGAGGTCTTTAGAGTATAGTGCAGGCTGGCTCACCAGGGCGGCGGCCTGAAAGGACTCGCCATCCGCCGGCATATCGGCACCTGCGAGTGAAATGTGTGACCCACGGTGAGCTCCGACACCATTCTCTTGGTGTAAATAGATTCTTCTGAACCCTTCTTTCGTCTTCCCATCTTCAACATCTTTTTCTGGCCACTTCCAGGCAAGCTGCCAACCACCGCCAATGTCAGTGCTATTCACTTGTTCTCCGTCGATGTGAACAACGCTGTTGTTTCTCATACTTATAATACTTGAAGCAGGATGAATCATGTCTTTTTCCATACTTGTAGCTTGACGGGAAATCAACGGAGATTGTAAATTATCATCATTGTCGTCGTTTCCAGGAACATCAGATTGATAATCGTCGCCTTCCCTACCACCAACACTCTCTTCATCCCAATCTTCATGTTTCTCT